GCCAACAGACGGGGTTCCAGTTTTAGAGCTGCACACAGGTATTTCATTACTTCAGTTATGCCAAGATGTGGGAGCGAGCATGGCCTCTCTCAGACAGACGCGTATACATCATCCGCTGAAGCCCTAACTTCCGTGAAGCTTCAGTTTTCTTCATATTCATCTGAAGGCATTTCCTCCTTCTCCTTATTCTTTAATCACGGGTCTTGGTTGGGGCTTTCTCATGGAATTCCTTAATAAAAGTCTTTTCTCTTTCATTTATCACTGATTTTTTTCCTCCGAAAATACGGTTGTTGCCAATGTAGTTAAACTGATTCTTCCCTGATCGCTTTGTCTGTCGACGTACCACATTTCCCCGTGACTAAAGTACTTCGCCCGATTTTCAGGAGTCAGGCCCGAGATAGATAGTAAAATCCTGACATTGGTAAGCTGTGAGCGAGTCGGACAGTTCCATTGCCTCCGCTTAAATCTGGTCGCACAAGAACCACACTCACGGTCAAATTAGCTTACAGTCGTATCGGCTGTGCGGACCAGTGACATGAGATGCCCTTGCTACACAAATGCCTTTTCGGAACTTACCTTCTGAGCCCGAGTGATCAGAACACAGTGGCCGTGTAATGCCGTTCTTGTAGGATGCCTTGAAGGAGGGGCTGTCGTGTGCGCAAAAGCCTGTCAGGTAGCTAAAGAATCTAGGAGCAAAATCCAGATCTATGAAGTGGACCCTGAAAAAAGATAAAGAATATTCAGGTCAGTAAAATGTATAAGCATATTTTACATAGATTAAATGAAGGTACACATGTTTCCTTAATCAATGCAAATGTTGAAGCAAATGTATAATCATAACACGTACAGAATCAGACATTCTTGTGTTCGACTTACTTCAAAGCACAGGTGTTTGGAGGGACATTGACTGTCAGAGGGCAAAGGGAGGGCAGACCGCCTTCAATGGATGGGTACATTGGATTCTGCCAGACCGTCTTATGGGTGTTGGTCGTTCCGCCACATGTAGCTTCAGTGACAGTCTCTGAAACAAGATAAAAAAAATATATATAAGTGCGTGTGTGTGTATGTGTGTGTTAATAAATAGAAGAATGTATATATATGTGTGTGTTAATAAATAGAAGAATGTATATATATGTGTGTGTTAATAAATAGAAGTGTGTGTGTGTGTGTTAATAAATAGAAGAATATGTGTGTGTGTGTGTGTGTGTGTGTGTGTGTGTGTGTGTGTGTGTGTGTGTGTGTGTGTGTGTGTGTGTGTGTGTGTGTGTGTGTGTGTGTGTGTGTGTGATATACATGTTTATTGGGGTAAATGCCCTATAACATATACATTCAACTTATGCAATTTTATCTTATACAAAACAGGCTTCACTGCCAAAATCTCACCTGGTAAAACGAAGTTGAACTTATTGATGAATCTGTTGATAAAATCTGAAATAAAACAGCAAAACAGCGGTTATTTGATGTTATTTGGATCGAGTAATAGAGACCTAGCTTGAAAATAGTGCAAGCTTTATCTTTATCTCCATCATTTGCAAGTGTTAAGCAGTATAATATCCTTCTATTTTTCAATTTACATTTTATCCATTTATTTACCAAGCTGGACTTCTTGTTTCTTTCTATGCTATAATTTGTCAGTTCATATCGGTATTGGCATATACCTCTACTTATTTATTCATTTATCTGTCTATCTATCTATCTGTGTATTTATATATCTATCTGTCCGTCCATTTGTCTATCTACATATAATTTTCACTACGACTACCTCGATATGCACATCCATATCTACACCAACATCTATCTATTCAAATATATCTATTTACCTAGTTCTCAATCTATCTATCTATCCATCCATCTCTCTCTGTCTATCTATCCATCCATCTCTCTCTATCCACCTATCGATCTACTATATATCCATCTATCTCTCTCTATCTACCTATCGAACTACCTATCTATCCATCTATCTCTCTCTCTGTCTACCTATCGATCAACCTATCTATCAATCTATTAATCTACCTACCCCTATCACACACACACTCTCTCTCTAATGTCTCTCTATCAATCTAGCTATCGATCAACCTATCTATCAATCTATCTACCCATCTCACGCACACACACTCTCTCTCTCTAATGTCTCTCTCTATCTATCTCTCAGTCTATCTACCTATCTATCTTACCTTCGTTCTGTTGTTGCAAGTTGGTAATGTTCGGCAGGATGCTGGCCGGGACCGTCTTCCCCTGACCGAATACGATGTCTAGAACCACCAGCAAGAGCCATCCTGACTTCCACCTGTGAAATGAAAGGAAATGAGTTGTTATTTGTTTTCAATTGTTTTATCTCGTTGCGGTCTGTAGAATAACAACGGCTGATTGTGGTATGTGATAGATAAGAACATGCCACGTCATTTCGAAATTTCGTATTTTATCTCTTTCTTGTCTTCTTTTTTAAAGGCTTGGGGATATATGGAGAGGGAAAATAAGAAATTAAAATGCGATTTTGAGT